TACAATGTTTAATGATCAAATCAGGGTAATTGGGATACTCATCACCTCAAGCATTTATCATTTCTCTGTGGTAGGAACATTCCAATTCCACTCTTCTAGTTGTTTTGAAATATACAATAAATTATTGTTAACTAAAGTCATCCTATTGTGCTACCGAACACTAGATCTTATTCCTTTTACCTAACTGTCTTTTTGTAACTATTAACCAGCCCCACTTTAACCCCCTGCCCACTACCCTTTCCAGCCTCTGATAACTAACCATCATACTACCCTCTGTCTCTGTGAGATCAATTTTTTTTAGCTCCCACATATGAGTGAGAACATGCAAGATTTGTCTTTCTGTGCCTGGCTTCTTTCACCGAACATAATGTCCTCTAGTTTCACCAATGTTGTTGCAAATGACCAGATTTCATTCTTTGTTACGGCTGAATCATATTCCATTGTGTATACGTATCACATTTTCTTAATCTGTTCATCCATTGACATACACTTAAGTTGATTTTATATCTTGGCTACTGTGAAGAGTCCTGCAATAAACATGCAAGCGTAGATACCTCTTCAATATACTGATTTCTTTTCTTTTAGATATATACCCAGCAGTGGGATTTCTGAATCATATAGTAGTTCTATTTTTAGTTTTTTAAGATGTTTCCATACTGTTCTCCGTACTGGCTATAATAATTTACATTTCCACATCAGTGTATAAGAGTTCCCCTTTCTCCACATCCTTGTCAACATCCGTTATTGCCTGTCTTCTTGATAAAAGCCATTTCAACTGGCTTTTCTTTTGTAGTTTTGATTTACATTTCTCTGATGATTAATGATGTTAAGTATTTTTTCATATACTTTTTGGACATTTGTATGTCTTCTTTTTTAAAAATGTGTTTTTCTTTTATTTTTAATCTGTTGTATGTCTTCTTTTGAGAAATGTCTGTTCAGATCTTTTGCCCATTTTTAAATCAGATTATTTGTTTTTTTACTATTGAGTTGTTTGAGCTCCTTTTATATTCTGGTTATTAATCTCTTGTCAGATGAAAAACTTCATTTTTATGAGTAATTGATAGGGCTACTTTGTCCCAAGAGTAAAAGCAGTAGAGTTTAAATTAACTCAAAATCTAAGATTAAAAAGTACATATATTACAGCCATCGATTTAAGTCTAGGCTGAATGTAGTATTAATTTGCATTTAAGACATTAAACCTGACCCTTAAATTCTATTCATTATAATAATAAAAATAAGCACTTAGCTTATGTGACCAATGAAGAATTTCCATACAAATGATATTAGATTATTAAGTATGAAATGCCTGATTTCCTTAAAAAGTAAGTTTGACAGTTGATATCTCTAACATTTCACTTTGATACTCTTGTTTTATTTTTATTGTGTAGGTACATCCTCATTCTTTCAAATGCACGGTTTGGCTTGTGAATATCTTTCACATTTTTTTTAGAGCAATTTTTGTGAAACCATGGATCCGTCGAAAATTCATGTTATTTTCAAATATGAGTTCCATCATGGAACCAGGGCAGCACAGACAGCTTGAAATATCAACGAAGTGTTTGGGAAGGATGTGGCTAATGAATACATAGTACGTCGATGGTTTGAGAAGTTCCATTTTGATAATTTTAAACTTGAAAATGAGCCACATGGGTGACCTGAGACCAAGGTAGATAATTATGAAAGCTCTAGAGTCTAATTGAAGCAAATCCATCGCAATCTATGCAGGAATTAGCAGCAAGGTTTGATGTTACTATTCCAAAAATATTGGACAAT